AAACTTTTACTACTTGCTGTAAACCCTTCAAACTGGGTTAGGGATGAACCATTAACTAATGGGGAACCTTATATATAAGTAATATGGGGTAACTATAAACTGAAGATAGAATGAAACTTTTACTACTTGCTGTAAACCCTTCAAACTGGGTTAGGGATGAACCATTAACTAATGGGGAACCTTATACTGTACAATACTTTATTTTTGCTTAGAATTAATTTTCGCTATTTTCGCTGAAGGGATGATTCATTTGTGATATCTGCTTCAGACAAGGTAAATAACTGTGTAATATCAAAATGTTAGTTGGTAACTAATACCGGTATATGAGGAAAAAATGTAGTACAGTGTCTTACAGCGTACAAAATTAAAATTGATTCTTTTGACGACTACTAAATAATTATTTATAAAGAGAGTTTGATATGAAGTATTGCCATGGGTAGTTTTCTACCTTACGAGGACTGTGGAGAACTTAAGCATGCACACAACAAACTTAATTTCAATTACTGCATGAATATAGTAGTTATCCACTGCTCAGTTTGAAGGGTTTACAGCAAGAAGTTCTACTTTCAGATTATACTGTAAATTTATAGTGCTAGAATTTTTTTTTTTATTTTATCACCTGAGATGCCATAGAACCTCAGTGAAATTGATTGCTTCAAGAATACACTAGCCAATGAACATGTGAACACTGAACATGTGTGTATTGTGGTTGGAGGTCAGAAAATATTATTATAAGAGAATTTCACGAAATTACTAGTAAATGTCAATGACATGTCATGAATTTTTCACCATAGTTACTGTGATGTCGCTGATTAAAATAATGAGATATACAAAAATATTTTCACCACAGAAACAAACTTGAAATATGAAAAAAAAAATGGGCACATTTTTTCTTATTTAACATGGCATCTCATATTCTTTTACGCAAAATAAGTGACTGCATGGTGGCCATATTTTCCATTGGAAATGTCAGCATAATCACAACGTCATGAGTAATTTTTCAAAACTTTCCAAGACAGACAAATTCCAGATTTCATAGCAGTGACAACTTCAGTTGGACTTCAATAATTAATCCGAAAAGAGCGTGTGCAAACACCATCAAATCTGAAGCTTGTGAACTCATACTTGCAGCATAAAGTGGTAGCACACCGAGTACAAACAGGAATGTAGTATAATCACGCAGTATTCCGTGGGTGTGTCAATGAGAAAGTTGTCTTAATGGAGTAATCTAAGTCTGTTCGCTTGTGTGTGCCTGTTTGATTCTTTAAATCCTTTGTAATCGTAATCAAAGACGCGTACACACTTGAAATTTGTGAAGCCGAGGACAGCTATTATTATGTATATATACTACAGCAGAAAATTTAAAATTAGTCCCGATTACATAACTACTTCAAACGAGCAGGCTTTTTTTCTGTATTTCTATGTGTCGCAGAGTGTTTTCTGTAATTCGTAATCACTGTGTTCTTATTTATAGCTAAATACACTATGTATTAGGGTTAAAGAGATTATACTAGTTCGTAAAGCTCCTAAAAGACAGAGGTGACAAAGGACCGACTAATACGTTTAATCGTGAACATTATAACTTACTGTGTCACTGACCTGGTATGTCTTGGCTATACTTGGATCAAGTCCCGATTCTGGATGACTTTTGCCTGGATTTAAAGCAGAAGACGTCTTCGATTCATACCAAACGTGGTCAAAATTTCCTGGGCGTAACAAAACCGGGCGTCCAGCCCCCCGAAAATTACTGGCGACGCTAAAAATACCGTGAACTCTGCGCGGTCGTGATACTGTCGAGATACGTCTTCATATTACTTTCCCATTACTTTACGCGTAACTCAATACGTCAGGCTCCAACCCCCGCCGAGGAAGACATAGCAGTCAATCAAAGGTCATAGGTCAAGGAAATAACAAACAGTGAGAGCTAGCTTTACTTGTATGCTGTCAATTCGCTTACAATTCACAGTTAACAATGTATTTAATGAATTAAACTTGTAATTCAAATCTAAACAGTTGTGACTATGAAATATAAACGTACAAATGCACTTTGTAGTATGCATTACAACATTTATCTTTATTTTCTTTAATTTTTATTTTATTGTCAAAATCTGTTGTGTTTCCCACCAAACCTTAAACAATTTTTGTCGTATTGTGAGACGTTTTTGTATTTATCATCAGCCTAAAATAAATTTGGACTTTTACTACGATATGTACCGTATTACCGTAATAGCGAGTTGTTGTCATGCCAACAACAATCTTAGTTACGAACTTAACGCCGCATTGTCTCTTTGCTACTGATTGGCAAACTGATTGATCAATGAAAGCAAATTGAACTTTTGACATCATAGCTGAGTATCACAAAATGACTGTGTACAAGCCGTAACTTAAGATGTTTTCTTAGAGGATATAAAAACGTACGCCCACGTGCAATATCATTTAATAAAGACTAGGTAATCTAAAGCTTGGCAAGTTAGTAGATATGACTTATCCTTATAGTACATGTATATTTGATTTGGAAATTATTTAGTATATTCGCAGTCAAAAATTAATTTAACAGTTGGACATAACGCAATTTATTATGTGTGAAGAAGATTGACTAGTTGGATTAACTTACAGTCGTGTTCTCTTTAGTGCGTTCTTGTGGGTAATCTATAGGGAACGAGAACGATTAATATTTCACGTATTTCGCGTACAGCAGACACTGACCTAATTGGTTTCAATTGCATCGACCTAATATGTGACGTGATTATATGTTAGACCATCTTCTCCAATTGTACTCCAAACGTGTCATATTATAAATAAATAGTATACACTTATCATGAGGGAGTAAAAAAACACGTTCAACAAAACATTTATTTAGTATTTTATTAGAATGTTGGTCAATTCTAGTATGTGACAAGTTACGTTCTGAGTGATAATGAACCACCGGAGATGTTGTTGCTTACTGAATTTCATCGGAATTTTAAAAGACATTATTTTATTTTATCCGTCCCAAAAGCCGATAGTCTGGTGTACATTAAGTTATCCCTTTTCCAGTTAAACAAAAAAAATGTTGTTTAATCAAAAATTATTTTCGCAAAATAAAAGTGAGCGGACGAAATAGAACAAACCCCGGTAAACAACGCCAACATCGTCGACTTTTTGTGTTTCTTATTTTGTTAAGCTCTTGGTGGCGCATTCGGCGGTTTTATCTCGGTTTTATGTCCAACCACGGTTACTAGAAACCGTGGTACAACGTACAATTCAGTATAACCGAGAACCGTGCGAAATGTCCAGGTAATTAATTCAAATATGACACTGTTTTAATGTCAAAAATGTATATATACCACTAATTGAAATGTATTATAGTCCTAAATATATAATACATATACTTGTCCCATTCATGTTATTATGGAAACTAAACACGCGCGAATGCCCAGAATTGTGAGTATAAGGTACATAACTGTATATAACTTCCCATATTCAAGAATATGCCAAGAATCAATCCAAGAACTTAAGGGGAATGACTTTATTGACAGTTATTAGTAAAAAACTGTACTAGAATTATCTGCTGTCGTTTTAGGGGAGGAAACCGTGTCCAACGTAGAAAGACACAAGCTGTGTTTAGAAAAGATTATTGACAATATTTTTTTTTCAATTTGCAAACAAATTTCGAGAAATATGTTAATCAAAAGTAGGAAGGTTTTATCATGCTTATTTTGTTATCTTTTGATCGGTCTTTCGGAGGGGGTGGGTTAATGCCCATATTTAAACAAATAGAAATAGTATATACAACTGTAGAACCTTACGCAAAAGTATGGGAAAGTTTACAAATCCAAGAGTAGCCAGTTCTGGGTCAACTAACAAATTTAAGTAATTGTCCACTGGGTGTGAGCCAAAGGTGCATCCTGTTTCCTTTTCTGTTCGTTTTTGTAATCAATGATATACACCAGAAGAGTTCAGTAAGATTGTTTTTCTGTCTCCACCTCAGCTTGATTAATTTATTTTATTTACATCTACTCTTCGAGGATGATTTATCTTTTATTACCGAAAGTGTGATTAGACTACGAAGACTTTTCATTCAGAATACGTTTGCAAAATCCCGTACTTGTTAGCCGTAGAGGGCAGATGATAAGCATAACCCGGAAATAACAACCGAGTGCCGTGACAGCTGTACAAGTGTACGACCCCAGGCTTAGGATCGAGTTGTGGACACCGACAAGTCTGGTTTTGTGAAATGGCCGGACACTAATGCAACAAACGGGGAAAACTTATAGCCGTCGTCGCGTTTAGATATTCTTCAAATCTTGTGAGTATGTTCGGAATTTATGATCTGTTCATCTCATCAGTAAAGTTGAAGTTGTCACTTTATTGACATGTGCGATTTATACACAGTTTTTACACGTTGCAGTATTTGTGATAGTACTGCGTTTGTGTGTATAACGAGACGTTTAGCTTGCAAATCGTGCGTAATAACAACTGATATTCAATAAATGTCCGCTCTTATACTTAAGCACATGTTTTGTTGTATGTCTTGGCACATTCCATGCATTCCGATCTCACTGGACAAGGCTGTTATGAATGGATAACTACGGAAGAATATTATGTTACTACCCTACCATTATTGGTCATCTGATCACAGGGCAAACTTTACCCTTGAACGTGGTGTGATCTAGACCACGCCCACCTTTCATCATAACACAGTTTACAAATGAGGTTCATTTGCTTAGACTTAATGTACTGAATGTGATGCCTTAAGTTGGCAAAAACTGTATTAAAAGAAATTGGTTCCCCATTGGAGAATTATGGGGCAGGCTGTGGGATTTAAGTAGAGGTTTCCACAATAACTTCAAATTGGGTAAAAACAATTAGGCAGGTAACAAGTCTTACAACCACCTCCCATGTTTGCAAATAGCGGACCTCTAAGTAATAGTTTCTCTACCATTTTACTAATCATTATATAAACATTCATTTTATAGATTGTTGGTGACCTGTGTTAAAACTGTATCGACTCATAAAATATGGCCAAGCCGGCAATGAAATGGACAGCCATCGCGCTTACCTGTCAAAATAAAGAAACTGCATATTCATGTCAGAAAGGTATGTATGGATCATTTAACTTAAATGTATACGTTCGAATGTCCACATTTGCTGTGCAGAAGTAATATGTGATCAACCATTTGACCATTGGTACACCTATACCTTGACACTTTTCCTCCGTACTACTCCATTCATGTATATTGTCAAACAAAATTCTCTGAGTAGACTGTTGACAGTTCTCAGGCCTAATAAAGAGTCACTTTTTTATATATATTATTATATTTTCAAACACCGTATTGTGTTAACAAAGGCAATTCAAGCAATTAGGGCTGTAAGGCCCGAGAGACTGTTATAGCATGTAAACGCCCTCATGCGCATTACGTGGAAATTTCCCGATGACGTTCCTGTTGAGACTTGTCACTCAAACTACTACTACTGTAAAATCTGTATTAGAAACCGCAATTTCCACATAATGCCGCATGAGGGCATTTACATTCTGTAACTGTCTCTCGGGCCTTACGACCCTCAGTTGAAAAATGCCTTTGGTATTTCGTTAAAATGCCTACGGCGTTTGAAAATAAGTGACTCTTTATTAGGCTCGAGAACTGTCGACAGTCTACTTTTTGAGGTATTCCTCTTGGTCTTACTCTTTTAACTTTGTCTTGGATTAGAATCTTCGTTATTTTACCCACCCTGATATGACGCCTAAAAAACTTCAGTTTCTTTTCATGGTGGTCTGCATTATGTTCTCTGGTTCTCCTAGAACTTATGATTTCTTTTACTTTAGTCCACACATTGGTCTCCTCTCATTCCACAAAATATAAAGCAAATTTTGCAATTTTTTTGGTTTTGGAAACTGCAAGTTTCTTTTCCATTTTCTTCCTACTGTCCAACTCTAAAACCACAGAGGTAGACAGAGTCAAATCTTTAGTAGAATGTCCTTAGCCTTTCAGATCTTTTTGTGTCTGTCGAGTCTGAATGATGCTATCCCCAAAAACCATTAGTCATATGGCTTTGATACTTATTTAGGCATTTGAATTTGTTCATTTCCTGATGATAACTTTAATTCTCGTATTTCTGTAAATAGTTGTTGTCATTTTTAGAACTATGTGCTATTTGTTCATTTCATGATAACTTAATTTTCTAATTTAGGCAATATTCCTGTCATTCAGATTTAAAAATGCTATTTTCTACTTCTTTTTTTTGCTCGTTTGATTGCTTGGTTATTTTAAAGCGCGGTAGTCGTGACGCTGCGCATGTGCGAGATATATGGGTCTCATATAAACAAAGATGGCGACTTTGACTGTTGCGCAGATCAACAAGTACAAACTGAGATGTTTCCAAGCTTTAATTAGGTAATTTTCATGTTATCTGAAGGTATCAAGGAGTCACCGGCGGTAATCAGTGCAAGTCGCGCCCAGGTCAAACCTCATACTTGTGATTTCCATATGAAGAGCGCATTGGATAGGAAAACCAACGTTTATCAACACAAATGTCGCACATGCGTAGCGCGACGATTACCACGCTTTAAGTACCATGAGTAGACTTCTTCCGATTTGTTCATTTATTGATGTTATTTTCAATTCAATTTCATCTTTGCTATGGATGAGATTGCTTTCACCGTATCAGCTGACAGGCTGCTTGTTTATCTTTCACAGAACTAGATTTTTTACAAAAGAAAGGCTTCATTGATGCTGATGTACTCTTGTTAGCTGTAGAGGACCCAAAAGCTACCATTGGTAGTGGTGGTGCAACGATGAATGCACTTCTTGTAATAGCTGAACATTTAAGTGCACGCCAGGGATATACAGTAATATAAAGTTTTCTATTCTATTCTATTCTATTCTATTCTATTCTATTCTATTCTATTCTATTCTATTCTATTCTATTCTATTCTATTCTATTCTATTCTACGTACTATTATTGTTCGTTTGTTTATCAATAATGTTGATACGATTTCTTTTTTTTTACAAACCATCATTGTAAATTTGCTGTAGGTGGTGAACGGTGACGTCTTGTATACGTCCCACATCCTCCTTCTACATATGGTAAGTGTCTCTTATTTTAATCATCACACTAAACTAAAATTCGAGAGAAAACAGGGACACAACTTTAGCAAATAAAAAAAAAATAGATTTCAGTTGAATGTCCGTTTAGCTCCATTTATCCTTCATCACAGCATTTCAGGTTACTTTAAGACAAGGACCATGAGTGGTGACTTACATATGCACATCAATTTTCTTTTGCCCATTTTGGGCCTCAAATTAGCTAAATTCTAATATTTAACTGTGTCTGGAATCATGGTGTTATTTTGTGATTACGGTAGATCAAATTTGTTGAATTGATGGTCATTTTGCCTAAAAGCCTGAAATTGTAGTCTCTAATGATGAACTTTGACATTGAATATAAAATGAGGACTGTGCATTCTTAATGCTTTTTTTTTTATATTTTTGAAAAAATTTAATACTGGTACAATTTCTTTTGATGATATAAGAAAGTTGTTTATTTTTCTCTGTTTAATTCAGGGACGCAATTATCCATATGATCCATGTGGCCGAGCCTTTGTTGCTATACCCGCAATGCATCATGGGAGTCAAGACACTGGATATTCTTGTTTGATGTATAACATTAATAGTCTTCTGGATACCATGACAACCAAGGTGAGAATATTTATCATCAAAAGATTGAGTGAAACATGAGTGTGATTGTTTTCTCAGCCTATTTAGTGTGATATACACTTTTCTTGAAGATTTTTGAGTGTCAGATGTTTTTTCTGCCCAAAATTTTGTGCAAATATTTTCACATTTTGAAAAATTGTCACTGAATTTCATCTTCATTTTAGACCATACAGAGAATTTCAGATATTGCTTTTAGTTTTTGATCAAAAGTTTTGTAAATTTTTATCAATTTTTGGGACTACAAAATCATTCTATAAATGGCACCAAAAACTTTACAATGGTACTCAAGGGGTTATACAAATCCATGTGTATGAAAACTATGCTAATTACGTCATGTCTTTTGAAATAAATTTGGTGTCATATCTGGTAAAAAATCAGCACCAACATTTATATTTTAGCTTCTTTCATCAATTTTGTATTTCAATCCATCCACATCAAGTATAATAATTCTTTTACAATGAATTTTGGTCAAAAAATGCATTCTTGCATTTTCTCTTTGAGTACTTCTTGGTATTTTTTTTAACAGCTATTTTTATTTATAACTGTTAGATTTCTCCAGGTTCCCCACCGGGTGTCTGGATATGCAGTACGGATATGTTTCTTACCATTGAATCACAAACTAACATTGATTGGGAAGATTTCAATGGTACCGGTATATGTGGCATTGCTGTCCCAGGAAGCAAAGAATACGCCAGAAATCATGGAGTCTATAAAATCAACAAACAGGCATGTACTATGTATGTGGAGTTGTTAAGGAAGAGAGCAATTGATGTGAGATTTTGATTATTGATTATGATAGTATGATTAATTGGTTTAGCAACCCAATCACTGTTCAGTGTCTAATGGCTGTTCAGTGACTAATGACTGTTCAGTAACTAATCACTGTTCAGTAACTAATGACTGTTCAGTAATTAATGACTGTTCAGTGACTAATGGCTGTTCAGTGACTAATGGCTGTTCAGTGACCAATGACTGTTTAGTGACTAATGGCTGTTCAGTAACTAATGACTGTTCAGTAACTAATGACTGTTCAGTGACTAATGGCTGTTCAGTGACTAATGGCTGTTCAGTGACTAATGGCTGTTCAGTGACTAATGGCTGTTCGGTGACAAATGGCTGTTCGGTGACTAATGGCTGTTCAATGACTAATGGCTGTTGAGTAATTAATGACTGTTCAGTGACTAATGGCTGTTCAGTGACTAATGGCTGTTCAGTGACTAATGGCTGTTCAGTGACCAATGACTGTTTAGTGACTAATGGCTGTTCAGTAACTAATGACTGTTCAGTAACTAGTGGCTGTTCAGTGACTAATGGCTGTTCAGTGACTAATGGCTGTTCGGTGACAAATGGCTGTTCGGTGACTAATGGCTGTTCAATGACTAATGGCTGTTGAGTAATTAATGACTGTTCAGTGACTAATGGCTGTTCAGTGACTAATGGCTGTTCGGTGATTAATGATTGTTCAGTGACCAATGACTGTTCAGTAACTAATGGCTGTTCAGCAACTAATGACTGTTCAGTTACCAATGACTGTTTAGTAACTAATGGCTGTTCAGTGACTAATGGCTGTTCAGTGACTAATGACTGTTCGG